AGAAAAGTGGAAGAAGAGATGGTCGGAGATGTGCTTGCTTCCAACAGAACGGAGCGACCAGGACAAGGAATCTGCAGCGCAAGCGGCCGAAACTTGGAGGTTGAATCCTGCATTTGAGAGGGACGAAGTAACGATTACGCGGATAGGTGTGTCGGTCATCATTTTGTGCTCGGCTGCCCAAGCCTAACAGATTCCTCTGAAGATGAAGCCGAAAACATCATAGTAATGATTTCAGACTGGCTGGAACTTGATGCTGCTGATGATTGGGTTCGCCATGACGCAGAAATTGTATGTTGTGTCATTGCTCCCTCGGTAGCGTGTTATCGCTTATTCGTATCTACAGGCATTGAAACAAGAGCTGGCATATGCTTCCTACCTGAATGTCCATACCGCTATTCTTCCAGCGCCCCGGAACCGCGATCATGTCGCGTCTTATGCGCGTATTGTCAACTCTTGTCTCAATAAATCACCTTACATCTATCTTTCTATCCGACTGCCTATCTACAACCCCTCATCTGTATTTCATCCTGGTTCTCCTATCTCTTCCTTTCACCCCTCCTCGTCTTCCGCAATATCTTCACCTAACCCTGGAGCGATGCCGACCCCTGCTCTTGTTATCTCCGAGAGCGAACAAGTTCCATCTACATCAGGAGGATCTTTGAATGCTACCTGGGAAATGTGGGATGTGATACGATCTATGTGTGACTATAACTCGCGACTCACTCTAAGTATTGCAATTTTTACCCTCTCCTTACCTCACCTCATCTGGAATGCCTAGCTCTGGACCTCTCTCCGGCGCTACCTACAACTCTCGGTGTACTCAGCAAATGGGCTGCCGAATCCGTGCGACATATATTCTTGCCCTCATCTACCTTCATTGCGAATATGAAAGGGTACCCCGTTCTCCCGAAGCCAACCCAGCAATTTATCCGAGACAGCATGATAGCAAGTCCTTCCCTACCGTGGATCCCTAGATTCGTCATTTTTAACTACAGCAACTAGCATCGGCCCACGATTATCCTTGCAGAGGTCACTGAGGGACATCATTCACGGGGTGGTGAGGCTGCATATTCGCAATACGTAAGGTACTTAGAGAAGACCAGCCCCGCCGTGGAGGCGTCAAAAAGAACGGGAACCGTTGAAAATTTTGCTCAAGGTTATCAGGACTACCTGCAGGCCCCATTGCAGGTAAGTGGACGTTGTATGCGATTTGTTGTCTGCGCCGTTGATCGCGTCATAGCCCTTAATGGACAACTTGCCGAGCGTGACATACCAGACGTTCGAGCAAGATCCTGTCAAGTATATGCAATATGAAGAGGTTCGCCATGCTAATTCTTTGGCTTTTTTTGTTCCTAAGCAAAGTTTAGGCAATGTATCGGGCGTTCCTCGATCACCCAGAAGGGGAGAAAATGTACGCATACTTACGCTTCTTGCACATTATCTTTTCCGACCCAATTACAGCGTGGTCTGCGTTGCTGGAGCAGGTCGAGGTCCCCTCATTGCCCGCTGCTTCAAGGCACTCGAGAGAGCCAATCGCGAAGCCACCATTATCGCGGTCGAGAAAAACCCAAATGCGTTTGTAACGTGAGTTTATATTCTTTGAGTCAGCGTGGCGAATTTATAAAAATAATAGGCTGCAGCAGCGACAGGCAACGGAATGGGACAACAAGGTCCAGCTTCTCTTTGGAGACATGCGTGTTATCCAGGTCCCAGAGCAAGCGGACATTCTCGTCAGCGAACTTCTTGGTTCTTTTGGAGATAACGAGTTGAGCCCAGAGTGTTTGGATGGCGCAATGAGGTTCTTGAAATGTATGTTGGGCAGGACGGACGTTTATCATTCACTCGTTTACTAATCATATCTGCAGCCACTGGAATATCCATACCGTCTTCCTACACCGCACATCTCGCTCCACTTTCATCCTCGAAGCTATACAACGAAGCTAGATCCTCCAAAAATGACAAAAGCTTGGAAACGCCGTATGTGGTCATGTTCCAGGCTGTCAACATCCTGAGTGGAACAAAAGCGACAGTTGACGGTCGATGTGGGCCTCAAGTTCAAGAGTGTTGGGAGTTTGAACATCCGCGGCGAGACGCACTGTTGAATCGTAGTGGTATGCTTCTTCGCTTTTAAAAATCAAAGTTCATACTCATACGGTTAGTGTTTCAGGCCTTCCGTTTACGAATAGCCATAATGCTCGTTCCGCGAAATTGTGCTTTTATATCCCCCATGCCGGAATACTCCAGTGCGTTGGTTTTGTCTTCCTGATTAACGCACCCTAATACCGGGGCGATAGTGGCCTTGCAGGATATTTCGAGGCGGCAAGCTATTTTTGCAACACTTGAAAGAGGAAATGTCTAATTCGTCTCCGCAGGTTTTGTATGGGAACATTGGCCTGAGCATACATCCACAAAGGAAAGAACAGGTCTCGAAGGACATGTTGAGCTGGTTCCCTCTTTTCTTTCCATTCAAAGTACGTGCTGTTATATATATGCGCAAATGTACGGTTTCACTGAGGTGTCCGAAGGAACCGTTATATCTTCCGAGCAATTCAGAGCTTCATGTCTCTATTTGGCGGCTCACAAACGACCGACAGGTGTGGTATGAATGGCACGCAGAGTCTTTCATTTTATTGCCCGCTTCTTTACGAGCGGGCGAGGAGTTGCTATTAGGAAGCCCTGGATTATCGCCTGCACCTTCCTTCAGTTTGATGGGCGCCCCCAGCCCACTGATTGATTCCAAAGAACCCGATATTAGCAGGACGGCAACGACTGAAGTCACACGTATGGACGGGGAACTGGAGGCAGTCAAAATTGGACACACGAGTTTGCATAACCCAGGCGGACGGAGCAGCTGGATTGGACTGTGAGATGGCTGACCTCGTCGGGGAATGCTTGGCCACGGGGATTACGACTGGGGCGGGCGTTTGTTTTTAAATAAGATACTTATTGAATTCGATCGTGGCGGCGGAGCTTTAAAGTGGCTGACATCCAAAATAGTATATAGAAGCCCTCTTGCTTTCCTCCGTTGACCATCTCTCTTCTCTTCTACTACCACATCCTCTCGTTTTTACCCCGCCCTCGTTCAACGCCCACCCAGTCAACATGAAGTACTTTGCTTCAGCCGTTGCCCTCGTCTCTATCGTCCCCGGAATCGTCTCTTTGACCATAGACACCCCGTAGGTTTAGCTCAACCCGCCCATTGCACATTTCTCACTTTGCGCTGCCAATCTAGTTCCAGGGTGGTTCAATGTCGTCCGTGCTTGTTCCCTCTCTACCGCGGTTCAACATACCTGACCTCGCTGCTCTTTAGAACCCCAACTTTTGACGTGGAGCGGGGGCATGGCTCCCTACTACCTGACCGTTATCCCTGGTGTGTGCTTCATGACCTCGTTGTGTTCTTCTCGGCGATTAACAGATTTGAAGGTGGCCAAGCAAGCGCGCCTGCGGTATGTTTGCCTCCGCCATCAAGCACCTGCCTAATTAGGCATCTTTCGTGACTTTTTGGGATTAGCTGAAGTCTTTCGATACCACATCCAGTGCCAGCCAGACCTGGATCGTCGACATTCCTTCCGGAACTACCATGTGAGTAGTATATTTTTGGTTCATTTTTTCGTTCTGATGGTGTCTGTCGTAGAACCCTTGCTCTGAAGGATAGCACAGGCGCTACTGCGTTCACCGATGTCATCACCGTTCAACCCAACACCGATTCAAGGTATGGTCCTCTGCGTGTATTCACATCAGGTTTTTGACGGCCGCCTTAGCTGTTTGAACGGCGGGTCACCCCCTGCCCCGAATCCTGGTAATGGCGCCAATTCGGGAACTCCGCCGCTTGTCACCCAGGCGGCTGACGCTACGTCCGTTGCCGGTACCAGTGTCCGCTCGGGCACCAACCTCAGTACCCCGTCAGGGTGCGTCGTAATGATTCAACTCCTCTATGATTATATTCAATTGATTTCGCAGACGAGCGACGTCGATCTCGCCACCCACTCAGACCGTCGCGAGGCCTACGGGAACGGCTGCGTCTACTCCCTCCCGTCCTGCCACTACCAACGCATCCGGAGCCGAAGGTCGCTTCAGCTTTGGTGGTTTCGGGTTTGCGGGTTTCTTGGGTCTGGTTGGCGCCATCTTTTTATACATTTGAGCGGAGATTGAGCATGATTTGTTCTTTTCGGATTTACATTCTATCCTTCGTCTATTAGACTAGACATTCTTAACATTATTACTATTTTATTATTCACATATTTTCTTTGGTTAAAATAGCCCCTTTTCCTGGAATCCGAGTGCGTTGTTTTGATATTGACGTGCGCGTAGACTAACCCATCTCACATTCATGGAGAAGATAAGGGCTGCGCAACGTAGACTGGTTATTTTCGTTATGCAAGGCGGTCCTATTCCTCATCGAACGCGCTCCATACTTATTTCTTTTCCTTCCGCGTTGCCAGCAAGTTAGCTTACCCCTACCAAGATGGAGGTTATCTGTGCTCTCGCCCTCGACTCAAGTGCACCGATACGTCGCATACAACATGTGCGAGCTGTCTACCTTGGCCATTATCGCGTTAGCGCTGTCGAAATTTCATTTCCGATATTTCAAACGGACACAGGGAGAGGCAGCACCAGTTCGCCACCCTGGCGCCTGCTACTTGTTAGACGCTGCCCTTGCAATGGTCGCTATTTCGCCAAAGCACGACCTACCTCGACATCTGCCTATAGGTTCTCGAGATCTTAAAGCTGATTTTTTTAGGGCGGACTTCACATGGACGCAAAGTCCGTCCAGAAAGCTTTCTTGCTTTTCTACAACGACTGAATTTGATTAGCGTTGATATTTGCCTAATAGCTGTCATCACTTGTCAGTTGAAGTATCGTTCTTGTTTGTCAACTCTTTCCTCGCCAATCCGCCTCCCCCCGGTCAAGCAAGTGCACAAGAAAAAGCTGCAAGGCAGCGGCTTTTTTTATACTATTCCTGGTCGCACGCTGTTCAGCAAAAACCAAGACCAAAAAAGTCCTTCGAATCGGGATCGAACCGATGGCCTCGGGATATGGCTGACTAAGCATTGCTGACTAAGCATCCGTTTACAGTCCCACGCTCTTCCAACTGAGCTATCGAAGGCATGCTTTGTGGTGTAATAACACCTCTAAGATCCATGAGGAAGAAAGTTGGAGAAGGACAAGCATTGAGTGCAAGCCAAATCCTGGTTTCATCATTGATTTTATTGATGAAATGGGATGCCTTTTGTGCTCAACCATGGTGTGGGTCCTCTCACTGAGTCAAGGTCAAGCTTGTTTCCAATTCCAGAGTGTCAGAGGGAAAAGGCTGGAGCACTTGCTCCCAGAAATGACAATACATCTTGTTGTAGAATACAAAGTCATGTTCCATGCTATCTACACATTAGTCCTAAAATTCATACAATACGAGGATGCATACGTAGCAAAGAAAATGAGATGAAAGTGATCAACTTTTAAGCTCGACGATAACATTGATAAGCATGATAACTGTATATGTGGCGATCAAGAGGGTGCCCCACCGATGCGTGAGGATATAGTCATTTTGAGGAACAAAGATGAGTGTGGTAGCGAGAAGGAAGAGCAATCCGAAGGAGCTGACGAATAGGGTATGGGAAAGTTTAAGGATATACGGTTGACCTGTTTGATGGATGATGTAGGATCCTGAGACGCCAACACCCAGGAGAATGTTGAGCATGGGTCCTCCGAAGCAAGCTGAGAATCCCATGATCGGAGCAAACGCCTGCGGATTGAACAGATTTTTTTTAGTCAGAGAAACAGACTCATTGAACAACACATACCGCCACACTCATGTTTGCAACTAGATCAGCAAGAGAGTTGCCGACAGCGAAGATCGTGAGACCAATAATCGCATCCGATAGACCAAAGATGAGGCCGAATGTCTAGGTGGTTGTTCTGTCAAGAAAACCTGTGACATATGAAAGAGCTCATACCTGAAGCACATTGACAACCTCGTCCGCAATCGCCATTATCCACACCATTGACACAAAGAAACCCATCGAGCAACGAGTCATCCGGCCGGCCGGACTCGCGCCTCGTTCGGCAAAAATAACGACAAGAATTCCAAGGGCAGATCCTGCGATAACGGTTCCCAGTAGCAACCAAAATGCATGTTTGGTACCACCTAGTCAAGTGGCGTTGAGATTAAGATTTAAGATAGAACATCTGAATAATACGCACCAAACAGTACTTCCACACAGAAAAGAGGCCCAAAGAGACACTGTGCCGCCATGAGCCATTTGTTGAATGACAACTGGTGCAGGTTGTCCTGTACTTCCTGCTCCGCAAATAATGTCCTTTCCACACCCTCTTCTTCAAATTCTGCCAGTCTTGTGTCGGTATTATGCATCTTCTCCGGACCAGAACGACCGTTCTCATAGGGCGTTACCACAACAGGCAGTGTTAGTGTCAGGCACAACACAGCAGGAGCAGCAAGGACGCATGCGACTTGAGACAAGGTACCTTGTTGTCGGAAGTTGTGCAACGTCGGAAAAAGAATGTGGCACACTTGCCCCAGGATGCCTGATAAGCCCGAGGGATTGTTGGGTGGGGTATATAAAGGCTCGATACTTGAAACATCGGAAGTCGACTCATGTGGTGATGCTGGAGTACGTAGTATCGGGGGTATGGGACCCCTTGGCGTGTTGGTGCTGAAATAATCTTGAGGGTCTACAGATAGCAGATCCCGTGGCTCAGTTCGGGTTCCACTCGAAGGCTGAGAGGCGACTGGTGAACGAGTCCGTTGCAGTCCAATTAAAGTTTCCTCGTCCACACTGGAATGGGGAGAAACCGACCGCGATCTGGCGAAATGTGTATGATAGTGACCACCAGCGTAGGGTGTAACGGGTGTTTCGAAGATGCCTAAAGACGGTCCCGCAGCTTGCTTCTTCAACGAGGCGACGACATCTCTGAATTCCAAAGCACCAACCAGGGAAAAGGAAGGAAGCTGAGCAACATGGGATGAGGTCGGAGAAGGCGGTTGTGAATAATGGGCGAGGTTATGGAGATCCAGGCGAGGCAGTTCCGGAGCAGATACGGCACGCACACGCCCAGGACTGAGAGGTGCTGCAGAATGCATCAGCGCCAAGTTAAAGAAACTAGTATTCACCTACGTTCGTCCGAGTAAGGTTCTTGTGATACTGTGACTCTCAGGTGGTTGTGTAGATCATCCCTTTTCTTGCGCTCCGACAACGATCCTCCCACAACCACCGCGACATATACGAAATATAACAGAATGAGAGATCCAGCTTCCCAAGCCGATATTTGTCCATCCCATAATATGACCAGCACCAGACCTACTGCGAGCGAGAAAAAACCTACATCTCGCAAAAACGGAAAGCGGTGGACCTCGAATGGTTTGATGATGCACATGGAACCTACGACACAGGACACGATGAAGGTCGCCGCCCCAACGAGTTCGCCGATAGCCAAACTCCCGGAATTGGCACGCATGGCTGAAAATGTGGAGAAGACGTCCGGACTTCCGTTCCCAAAGGCCAACAACGTTACGCCGGCGACATTCTCGTCTAAACCCAGCAGCTGGGAGATAGTGGCGAGATTGGGAGTAAAGAAATCGGAGGCACTGATGCCGAGGGTGGAGAAGAGAAAGATGAGCCAGAGGAAAAGGCCGGTGAATACCAAGGGTCGCAGGGTAGGCTTTGAACAATAATAGTGATGAAGGTAGTCGATATCAAGGACGGTATCTGAGGTTGGGCAATCTGTATCGACATGTTGACATTGAGAGTCAATGGGAAAGGCTAGCGGATGGCACTGAAAATATACTTGGATGAGTATTACAACAGATCAGGTGGGCGAATTCATGCCTCGTTTTCCGAATAAGAGGAAGCCCTTGAATGCTGAGATTGGGAGAGCTCGTATGAGATCCGTTTGACAAGGCTGGCCTCGCCATGGAGGAGACTGGATTGGATGGGTTGACCGTATCGACCTCGGGACCAAAGAAGGCAGTTTAAGATGAGCAAAGAGGCGAAAACGATCCTGGGAGAGGGTGCAGGCATGGGAGAGAGGATGGATGGGACATGCGGCGGCGGCGGTCAATGGCCTCGAGCACTGCCAGTTCAACTCCAATGATACAATCTTGACGTAAGCAGTCTAATACAAGTAATTCCTAATTCACAATCATTTCATGTGTCCCCTTTTCACTTTCCATCCTCAATCCCCCACCACTACTATCTCGTGTTCGGACCTGCAAATGCAAGTTAAACATCACTTACAAACGCCACCATTCAGAGCACACCTGGAACAGACTTGTCTGATGATTCGCCACGGCAGACGAAATGTTAAACCTCGTTGACATCTCCGTTGAACCATAATCGTGCCGTGGTTCCCCCCGAGATCGAGAGTTGAGGACAGCCAGTAACGAATTTGCATACACTCCAAGAAAGTCACTTGTCAATGAGGCCAATGATTGAAGCCAAATAAATCTCCTACGTTTTCCGATCACAAAATCGATGGCAAACGAGTAAAATGAATTTGGCAGCACGCTGAAAACAATGGTCTCAACGATAGCCACAGCCCTGGCCAGAGAGATTAGGGTGTCCTTAATTTAAAGGGAGGCGACTCACGATGTAAGAATACACCTGTTGATGGCAAATATTATCAGCTTATTGATGATACTGTTCGTGTCCTCAAACGAGGATCGATTGCTATCCAGGAGTACGCAGAGAGCCACTGCAATCAAGATGTCGGACAAAATTGCGAACACGCCGAATGGAACAGCAGAGCTGAACTGAAGGATGGAATGAGCATTGTGGATAGTTCAAAATCGGACATTCTGACCGATATTTCCTTCAGCCGAACAAATGCTTTTTTCTTAAATCTAAAAACGATTCAGCACAACATTATCACAGGAGTGTACTGGACATTGCACCAACAAATTCACAACAGTGTCTGGAATCCAGTCGCGCAATTAGCAAGGTCGCACTGCTTCACTTCATAAACTCACTCATCCCGAAACCTGTTATTTATCAGCTTCGGCGTCGGAAGAAAAAAATGCGGCTCACTGAAATGGGCAACAACACAGACGCCAATCATACCAGTTACCCACCATCGCTTTTGTGGGGAACACACTGCAGAAAATTGAGATGTTGGTCATGGAAATGTTCGGTGACATACATAGGAATATTCGATGGGTGAAAAATCTAATTCTCAGTCAGCCCCATGTTAGGCAGAGTTAGGCAGAAAATCGGCATCACATACAGTTGAACGATAAATGCGAGGAGTATCTACCCAGGATAAGGAATGTTATGCTCTTCCGAATACGAGAAGGGAACTCTCCGTACATTAACTGTTAAAGACATCTATTGGTTTGTAAGTTTCTTGAATGGTTTCTGCAGAAATCCAGAACATACAAATAGTGTCCTTCGAAGCGGAGTGATTTATATGAGCCTATATGATAATTAATTGAAAGAAGTTGTACATACCATGTTCCGTCAACGAGAACGCTGTGATCCACAAAGCCAACGATCTGGACATAATGACTTCCTGAGCGCTTCTTGGAGCATAAAATAGATGGCTCACGAGATAATAGTGTACTGCATGACACACTGGGGCCCCAGGTCAACTGGGTTCTTTCAACGTAGTGAATATCAAGTACGCACTGAAAATAACATGGAGTGTATCCAAACCCCTAAAGCCTTCGTTAAATTGTTGTTTTTAGGAACACGGATAAGATACCAGCCATATTGATGCGACCTGCAGGAAATAGCGAAGGTTGAGCTGATATGCAAGGATCATTACCAACAGAACTGCAATCATACCAGCAATTTCGTCGCATTTCCATCCTTTGGAAATGAAATATAGTACAAATAAGCCTACAATTTGGGCACACGGTTAAACAACAAGACTGAGAGATCAAGAAAGGGCGACGGAAAACTCACCTGAAGCGTAGTAATTCCATATATCGTCGTTGTAACCAACGCCCCAATAAGCAGAGCACCTGTATAGAAGTAGAAATGTTTATCAAACTCCTTTCCCCCCTATGTATCCGAACGAACCAAAGGTATCAGAGATGTCGAATGTGTGAGGCGACGCCATTTCTCCAGGGAAATGGACTCGCGAGTGGGTGGA